GGATGTCGAAGCTGGATGTGCCAATGGTCGTAAAGAGGAGAAGGTTATGATAGAAGAGGTTATAGATGAGGATTTGGTCGATTGGTTACAGAAGAGCAAACGACAGCAAGAGGCGCCGTGTGTAGCCACAGTGGGGGGAAGTGATGAGCCCCCCTCGAGGCGAGTTTCATCTGATCATTGGTCTGAGAAAGGTGCTAACAACTTGAATTCGCTTCCTTCCACGAACAATCCACGGGCAAGTGGCAAGTCCCATCGAGGAAAGAAGGAGGTGCTGAGTGTAGATGAATGGAAGAAGGTGCATAGAGGATGGAGAGCTAGAATCGTGGGTGGTAGACGATGCCTTGCCTCGTGGGGGCATAGATTAAAGACGCGTGCATCAATCGTGGGGGGTAGAGCGTCGCCCCCCTCGAGGGAAGTCTTGCATTCTGCTCGTATTGCATCAGAACCAATCACTGAAAGCCAAATTGAAGCAGCTCACCCAATCTGCACTGTTGATGCCGGTATAGACGAACCATCAGCACTTGGTTCTGAAATACCAACAGATGGCCTCGTGGACAACACCGACATCTTTACGCGTAAAACAGACCCATTTAATCCTCGTCGAGTTGACGCCATCCTCCGAGCGATTAGTGTTGGAGCCGATCTTGCAGGTGACCAGCGTGAAGCCTTCCTGGGTCTGATCCGCGAATACGCCGACTGTTTTGCATTGTCAGTGGGCGAGGTCTTCACAGTGGAAGGGGCAGTACACAAGTTGAACATACCTGAAGGTACCAAATTTAGCAAGCGGGTGAAGCAGAGGCCTCTAACGCCACCGCAGCGCCAGTATCTTCACCAGAAGATCGACGAAATGCTGGCTGCCGACGTCATTGAACGTGTCAACCCCAGTGACGTGAAGTGCGTCTCACCGACGACTTTGGCGCAAAAAGCACACGAGGGTGGTGGCCTAACACTGGAGGAACTTCAGTACCGGGTTAACGAGCAGTGTCAGGCGGCGGGTTTACCTGCATCGTTCACCTTGTCAGCCCAAGAAGCACCGGCATCAGAGTCATTGGGGAAGCCTGCACAGAAGTGGAGGATCTGTCAGGACTTCAATGAGGTCAATAAAGTGACGGAAATCGCACCTATGCCTCAGGGGGACCTCCGTATGAAGCAGCAGCGTCTCAGTGGTCACCGATGGCTGTCCCTGTTCGATCTGGCTTCAGGGTTCTATGCCTGTGAGGTTGCACCGGAGTCGAGACCGTACACATGCTTCTATGTCGAGGGTCGAGGTTATTTCTGGTACAAGAAGATGCCATTTGGTCTTACCGGTGCACCTTCCACATTTGCCCACCTCACTGCAACTCATCTTGATGACCTTATCGCAAACGGGGACATTGAACTGTTTGTCGATGATGGTGGTATGGCAGCCGACGACTTCGATGGGATGATGCAGAAGTTACGACACCTGTTCCAGCGTGTCCGGGAACGCAAGTTGTCTCTTTCAGCACCGAAATCACACTTCTTTGTGTCGAATGGCGTCTTTGGAGGAGCGACAGTTAGCAAGGACGGGGTAGCACCAGATCTGGCGAAGCTCACCGCAATCGTCAATTGGCCACAACCTGACGACGCCCTGAACCTTGTTTCCTTCTTGGGCATCACAGGTCACTTCCGTGACCTCGTGAAAGGGTACGCTGTGATTGAGGCACCACTCCGAAACCTAGTCCGTGATGTTGAACTGCCGCAGAAGTACTCCAAATCAGTCTACCGAAGGCTGATGAGAAATCACAAGCTGGCAGATCTGTGGAAGATGGAGCATACCAAGGCCTTCATTGCGCTCAAAACTGCTCTGACATCAGAGCCAGTTCTACGGGCACCACGCTACGATGGTTCTCACTTCGTCGTAACCACTGATGGTTGCAAGGAAGGTTTTGCTGGCGTCCTGACACAGAGGTTTGAGACGGTCTTGCCAAGTGGGAAAACAGTCACACGTACCCATCCTATTGCATTTGCTTCCAAGAGGACATCTCGTACCGAGGAGAAGTACAAACCCTTCTTGCTGGAGTTTGCGGCCCTCAAATTCTCGCTCGACAAGTTTTCGGACATCACGTGGGGGTATCCTATCGAAATCGAAACTGATTGTCAGGCTCTTCGTGATGTGTTGGAGAACGACAAGCTGAACGCTACTCACGCACGATGGCGAGACGGAATTCTTGCTCATAGGATCGTTGATGTTCGCCATGTTCCGGGCCGTCTCAATGTTGTCGCAGACGGCTTGAGTCGGTCTTGGGAAGGTCGACCTCGAGGTGTAGATGATGACGGCAGTGACTGGACAGTCTCGGAGGACTGGGAGGCAGCCACCGGGCTAGCACAAGATGTTCTCCATGTCGGTGTATCGAAAGATGCAGAGGTGCTTAGGGTGAGATTCAAGGATGAGCCTGTGTTCCTTGAGGTGGTGGACTCCTTGCTCGGGCTGGACGAAGGGTCAAACCTGAGGAAGAAACGTCGGGCTCGTCACCGAGCTAAAGGATATATGATTGAGGATGGACGGTTGTGGCGGCTGAGAGGGAAGATCGGCTCGCGAGCACGATCACGGGTGGAATGTGTGTCACGGAAGGAGGCAGTGGTGTTGGCAGCAATTGAGCATGCACATGGTGGGCACTGGCATAGAGATGCGGTCAAAATTGCATTGCTTGATCGTATATTCAGCCCAAAGCTCGACGAGTCTATCGTTCAGGCAATCAGTGATTGCTCAAAGTGCAAGAACTTCGGAGGGGCTTACCTGCATGCTCTGTTGAACCCGGTCACTCGGCGACATCCTTTCGAGCTCCTTGTTGGTGACTACCTCTCGATGGAGAACGGTAAAGGCGGATATCACACCATCGGCTTGTACTTGGATACGTTCTCGCAACACGTCTGGGCGTTCAAGTACAAGACCGCGGGTAGTGCTAAGACGACTATTAGTGCGTTACAGCAAATTTTTCACGGACACTTACCTGCTGATGTCTTCATGACTGACGGTGGCTCACATTTTGACAACCATGATGTGCGGGAGTTCTGTACAAGGTGGGGAACTGATACCTATGTGGTTCCAGCCTATTCTCCGTGGGTGAACGGTCTCGTCGAGGGTGCTAACAAGCTGCTCCTGCACGTCTTGAAACGCCTGTGTGCACCGGGATTAGGAGAGGACGACTACGAGAATATGTCTGAGAAGGACATACCGAGAAATTGGCCCGAGTACCTTGATGAAGCAGTCAGGATCCTGAATTGGCGCCTCCTCCCAAAGCTTAAGTTCCGTCCTAAGGAACTGCTGATGGGATCGGTAGTTAACACAGTTCCTACCCCCGTGAAGGAGAGTTTGGAGTTGCTGAAGGTGGAAGATGTGGAGGTGCAAATGGCGTATGTGGGGCAGCAGCAGCTGGATGGATATGACTCCATCACTCGGAATGCGGAGAGGCGGAAGGCGGTGTTTGATCGGCGGGTGCGGCGACAAAAACCTGGCGAGGTGACTTTCACGACGGGTCAGCTGGTGCAGGTGTATCGGAACGACATGGACTATACCTTCAAGACGGAGCGGAAGCTTGTGCCCAAATGGTCGATTCCACGGAGAGTTGCCGAGCGCGTTGTCAATTCGTACAGACTGGAAACATTGGATGGGAGACCCATCGACGGCCTATTCAGTGCGAGGCGTTTGCGTGAATTTGTCCCAAGAGAAGGGACAAAGCTGTTCTTGGACCAGAAGGTGTTCTTGGAGAGCTTGGCGAAAGCGTCGGCTGCCGGGTCAGGAGATGGTGAACGAGATGATGACGTGGCGGGCGTAGGTGAGACGGATGGTCGAGAGGAGGTTTGGTTTGATGCAGAAGAAGGTACCGAAGATTTTTAGGTTGGTTAGATGTTGGGTGGATGGGCAGGCAGCGAGGACGCTGCCATTTTTTGTGGGGGGCACATGGAATGGGTGGAACCCATTCCTCGGACGCGTGTACATCCGCATTTGGCAGGATTTGGTCTTGTTTGGCATGGGCTTTAGATAGACTTTCCGGTTTTGTCTCGTAGATACATTGACATTATCACTACCACATCTACGCATTCTCACCGCACTCCTCGGCCACTCCACCACTCCTCGCCTCGCCCTAACCCTCCGTCTATTTGAAATCCGTACCCTTGCAAGCACCAGCGCCCTACCGTCACTACGTCACCTTGGCCCCCCCTTCCCTTGCATAGCAACACATACCACGATGCATGCGCGTCATCCTCCGGTGGTCAGGGTATGGCTGTCGTTTTGAAGGAAAGGTTGTCGGGTTGTTTTGAGGTAGAGGGCTATATTGAGGAATGCTACCAATCATCAACACGATGTATCGACTACTCCATCTCCCCAACGCTCGCGGCTCGAAGACATCCATCATACCCGACTTGAACACAAACACCCCCTTCATCGTCTTCTCCATCAAAGCATTCTTTTGCTGCGCAAATTTCTCGGATCTACCAAAACGCCGCCTCGTCGCCTCTCGTACCAACAAGCATGCGACTCGTCGTCCTATAAGTCAGGTTACGGCTGTCGTCCGGAAGGAATGGGTACCGGCTCGGGTGGGCAAGATGACGTATCCTATCCACATACTCCAGTTCATCCCGCTGGTGCCCTGAAGACACCCACCCTATCGAACATGAATACCCCTTTCACCCGCACCCAACCATTCCCAGATGGGATGTAGCACGTCTACGCCCCATTACGCCTTCAGTCCTCCGTTTGGGAACCGAGGTTCTCCAGAGCGAATCTCACCTCTGACCTCTCGCTTCAACGCCAGCACGGACATCTTCCCCCTCATTCTGCTTGTTGAAGGAGTGGAGGAGAAGGAGGATTGCACGAGAGGCATGTCACAAGGAGTCCTGCTATATCATTTCCACGCCCCTTTCTCCTGCTTTCGAGTAATCCATATCCCAGCGCGAGAAATGCAAGAACACGTGTCCCCGCTGTTTGTCCATTTGAAGATAAGATGATCCAGAGGGAATGCAAGTAGGTTCGCATGACACCGTTGGTGAAGTGGTTATCATGCTTGCCTTCCGTCGATTCTGTTCATCAAAGATTAGCAAGCGGCTCGGGTTCAATTCCCGCCCGGTGTATATTACAACCGAGTGTCTCTCGTTTTTCTTTGTTCTCCGTTTTATCTCGTCACAGCTTCAGCCACGGTGGGTGCTCTCTTCATTTACATCGTCCACCATCCAGCTTCACGTCTCTGTTACTTTGTTGTACGCAGATGGGTGTCTTGTAAGTTTGAAGCCTGTATCAGAGTTTTTTTCCGTACCGACTTTCTGCTTCGAGGCCTTGAGATGTTTGATCTGTCGAAAGGTATGGATTCCCGAAGCACACCTTCCCTGGTTGATATAGCCACATTTCTTTCTGGTCAGTTTTCATTTCCTTCAAGTGTCCCTGATCGTTAGGGATTCCGATGTTTTCAGGTATAGATGAATAACGCGTCTTCGTCGGTAAGAGTCTTCGTGCCGATGCTGATGTTCTCAGACTCAGAGTGCAGAGCGTTCATCTTGGGATGGCTCGATCTGGGACGTAGTTCAAGTCCATGGGTAAGGATGTTTCATTGCAATACTTGAATCGAAGAGCTTTGGCTCTTAGTCTGAACACCAGAGCCACTAAATCCTCTCCACTCCAATAATGATTGACTTTTTATGTCCCAGCACGGGTTCCGAGTTCTTGATACTGCAAAGAGGTTGATCTTGATTCCGGGGAGCGTACAACAACGACACCGTTGGTGAAGTGGTTATCATGCTTGCCTTCCATGGTTCTGGTCTCCTTCGGATAGCAAGCGGCTCGGGTTCGATTCCCGAACGGTGTACTAGTCCTGGAGCATTCTTTGGTTTTTACTCTCCGATTTCACTCGTACTTGGACTGACCAAATCATCTTACAAGCCCTACGACTCGTCGTTCAACGGGACGAACCATAAACGAATCACCGTTCACATAATGGAAGTCACCGTTTTCGTTTTCGGAGTATATTCGTACAGGCCGTGCAACACGTTTCTGGGTTGTGTATCATTCGTGTTGGTTCCTCGTTCCTTCAAATTTCAGTTCAGCATACGTTATTAGTATGAAGAAGCAATGTTGACTTTGATGATATCTCTCAAGACTGCCAGATACATTCCCATAACCGGCACTCATCACCGCTTCCACCGCGCTTCCCAGAATACCAGAGTCCGGCTAGATTATCTACTGTATAGACCAATCTTAAATCACTGGACGCTGTTTATCTCCCAGCGCGGGAAAGGATAGTCTCTAGAGTACTTGATGGGGGGTTGTGGTTCAACGGAAGGACGATCATAATCATTTTGCGATTGAGAACATCAATACACTGTTGGTGAAGTGGTTATCATGCTTGCTTTCCATGCATCCGTTCGATTAGGGATTAGCAAGCAGCTCGGGTTCAATTCCCGGACGGTATATGTGCAATTCGAGCATCTCCTTTTTCCGTTTGTCTCTTCAGAACTTCGACCACGGTGCTCTGTTTCTTCAGCGCATTGTCAACGAGTTGATTTCGGAGGTACCTGGTAATTTATGGTATCTTTTTTACAGCTTCACGTCTGTTACGCGGATGGGTGTCTTTTATAAGTTTGAAGCGTATAGCAGAGTTTTTTCCGTACCGACTCACTGCTTCGAGGCCTTCAGATGTTTGATCTGTCGAGAGGTATGGGTTCTCGGAACATGCCTCTTTCCCTCATTGATATAGCCACATTCCTGTTTGGTTGTCTTTGGTTTCCTTCTAGTATCCCTGATCTTTAGGAGGTTCGATAGGTATAGATGGATAACACGTCTTTGTCGATAAGAGTCTTTGTGCTGATGCTGATGTTCTCAGACTCAGAGCGTTGACCTGGGGGGATGGGTTTTGATTCGGGACGTATCATATAGGCCTCTCTGAGCTACAGTCCGGATACCTCACATTGGGTAGAGTTTCCTCGTTTTCAACTCGGCACAAAATCACAAGGGCGTACGGCTAAACCACCCCCTTCCCCACTCGATATGTTATATGTACCAACCTTTCGAATGGAACAATGGTTGACTTTTTATGTCTCAGGCGCGGAACTGAAAGGTCTCTCGGGTTTTTCATCCCGAGTTCCTATCATCTACCTTCACCACCGATCTTGCAAATGCATCATCGATACCAAAAAACCGTTGGTGAAGTGGTTATCATGCTTACCTTCCAAAGCTCTTCCCATGTTGGAAAGCAAGCAGCTCGGGTTCGATTCCCGAACGGTGTACTAACGAGGCCACTCTCATTTTTACTACCAAAAAACTCGGTTTTCTTGTTCTCGCATCTCCTAGCTTTCCGGGGTGTTTGGACTGACAACGTATACTTATTGGAAGGGTACAGACACCCTACAACTCTTCATTTCATGGGATATGGCAACCTTTGATTTAGAACGTATAATATTTCTCTCGGCTCTAGCATCTCACTTTGATTCGTGTACAGAGCAGAAAGCGATCACGGTATCGTGAAGAGGTTCCAAGAGGTTTATTTTCCATTGAAGAACTGGAACGCATCTGGTACGTTTTCGGGCCCAACGCGAACCAGTGTAACCGTACCACTGCCAGATACATTCCCATAACCGGCGCTCGTCACCGTAATTGCACCTTTCTTGGATTCTTACTGCTCAACCTCTTCTCCGCTTGATCTACATATTTCAGCATAATCTGCTGCACCGTTGAATGTCTTCTCAGCCTGATCTCTTACATTCCCATCCACAGAAACGGCGCAATTTAATGCATCACCGATCACTTCACCCGTATCGTTGGAAAACACAGCCAACGAGCGTTCGTGAGTCATATTGTCCAACGGGTGCAGTGTTTTCACAGCTCTACATCCCAAAATGAATCGGGCGGTATAGCTTGAGGGCAAGAAACCGACTGCAACTGGCGTTGGAGTAGCCACGGGGGACTTGGGAGGCCCTATTCTTTGGCGCCCGTAGACGCTCCAGCCTCGAGGCGGTAAAGAAGCAAGGAATAAGGTACGTAACAAAAGTGAGCAAAAGATAGATATAGATGTCTTGCGGGGTATAGCCTATCGATCCCGAGCTACACTTTTCCTTTAGCCACCACCTTCTCGATTTTCATCCAGCTCTGAGTATATTGCTCGCTTTCAAGTAGGTAATTGGTTTTCAATGGATCGGTATGGAACACTTAGCTCTTTTGCTAGTAACTGCCATTCGATCGATCGCGATATTCACCTTCACTGTCGAAACCAAGATGGTGATCCTGCCGGAGATCTTGGACAACATTCTACAACTATGTCCCAGAGATGTTCTCTTAAACACTTGCATGGTATCGAGAGGGGCGCACAGAACAAGCGTGCCACTATTGTATCAGGAATTCGCTCCAGATCGGCCCAGGCAGATGGTTTTGTTCTTCAAAACAATCCTTCGTAATCCAGGTCTTGGGGAGTACGTAGAGAGTGTATTCATTAGGTGTGTTGCGTACTTATTACCTGGAACATCTTATTTAATCAGTACTATGTAGCCTTGAGGTTGGCACTAAGCACCTGCCAACGCGTTCATTCTTCCGGTTGATGACACGCGCATTCTCATTTCTACCAAAAATCACAGATCTCGCTCTCGACATTTCTGAAATCCCCTCATTTGCTTTATCAGCTATCACTCTCCCGAAACTCTCCTTCCTCGTGCTTCTACACCTCACTACCGACAAATTACATTTCCTATATCGACACAGAGAATCACTACAGGATCTCATCTTCAATGACGGTTCCAACGTCTTTATAGATGGCTCTGAACCACCGCCGATTCTACCGAAGCTACGATCCCTGAATGGTCCCCCCAATGTCGTTCCACACATACTTGCGCCTTCTCTCCCGGCTTTTCATTGCCTCGAGGTTATCTGGGGTGATCATATCACCCAAGGGGACTATCAACCAGTAATAGATGCTTTCGAATCTGCGTGTCGAGGGAGCAATCACCCAATGCTTCGACTATTTATTCTGCGATGCACACGGAACATTGATCTATTTTGTGCGGTTGCACGTCAGATGCCTCACCTAACACACCTGTTCATGAGATATGGTAGTCCAACTAGAGAAGTAAGCGAGGTTCGTCTTCTTCAATGTCGTTATTGCCTATTTTTGGTACTGATTGTCACAAAGTCAGAGATAGACGTGATAACGAGTCATATGGGTGAGTTCTCTCGGCTCGAACATTTGGACTGGATCGTATTCTTTTGGGATGACATTAAGAGTGAGGAATATGAGCTAGTGAATCGATTTCAGAAGGTGTGTCCTTCTCTAAGGTCGTGGAGAGCATTCGGTACGTCTTTCTGGGATTATGAAGAATGAGCTATTACTAATCCAATCCTACAGGGGGAAGGATGTGGTGTCGACATGTATCTGAAAGTGGGGAGCTTTCGAGTATCTGGAGGAAAGCCTAGTACGCAATTCTGTCACTCTAGGTATAGGCTATACGGTAGACAGTATATCGAGCAACCGAAGAATGGATGTGCCCTTTGGAGTCATGAAATGACTAGGATAGTAATAGAACTTCGCATATAGCATATTATTCTCTGAGAGTCACAATCAGACCAGCAGATCAACATCCATGATAGCTCTGTGAAATTCCTTTCCTACCATCGCAAGCGTAGCTTTTCCTTCAAGGTTCTACTGTTTGATTTCTTGTTCGTGCGACAGCGATTCCTCGGGGTGATCTGTTCAGCGCTGTAATAGGTAGTATTACAGGCGTTCTAACATGTTGTACCTAGTCTCAGTCTTATGCATCATGTTCCCCGTGCATTGTGCTTACCGAATCGGGATCGCCCCGTCTCAGCGATCATCGGCATCTTTCTCGAATACCACAACATACAGGGTGCAGACCACCATTTCAACACCTTCGTCAGATTGAGTTCCATCACTCGGATGACGCGCGTTTCTCTCATCCGGTGACGTCACATGTCCCTAACTCTGACCTCACGTTGTTCTTCCTCTACCACGATGACAACTAGAACGCTTGAGGCGTTCTGCATTTCTCTGCTCCGATCCCGTATGCTCAAAGCAGTCGGCAGATCTAATTCAAGAGCACAAGCGAGGAATCACTTTGTAGGGTAGATAAGAATGGAATAGCTCTGAGGTACATTTCCTATTTTATCGTGTATGACGGGTGCTTTATCATCTTCCTTCCTCGACCAATTTTCTCATACCCTTGATATCCATCCATACCCCACAAGCGCCATGTAATTCCACGTGTACATTACCAAGAAGCCCTAGCTTCTAGTTCTCAAAGGCGCCCATTCTATTTCCATGCTTAAAAGGATTCGGATATAAAAGGACAGAAATTAGGAGAGTAGCATGGAGAGGAACAAGATGGAGTCGATGAAGGACAACGAGCCGAGCCTGTATCTCGCTATATCTGCCTCCGTTGCCATTCATCGGTACTTCTTTCGCCAGGTTGTTTCACACGCTCACAACCTCACCACGACCGTGTTTGTGTTTTTTGAACCCACTACTTGACCCGACACGGACGCTTGCCCAGGATTTAGGGACCATGTTCATGATACGCGAAGAAGAAAAGACGATAGGCCAGAGTAGGAGCGATTCAACAAAAGTGTCATCACGGTGGCTAGAAAGTAACGCTGGAGGCAGAGGAATAGGAATTGAAACAGAATAACAGGACCGTGTAGGGCACAACGAACGCGGAGCGAAGTTTGATTGAGATGGGAGGTACTTCAGGTTCTATACTAGCCAGACAGACGAAGAACGAGTCCCGGCAGCAGCGGTCTTGGTGAAGCTTGACACTCGGGCTATGTGAGAAATAGGAGAAAATCAACCAATCAAAGATGCTTCCAATGTGGCCCGGGAGCAATGACTCAATGCTTGGTCTATTTGTTCTGCGATGCGCACGGAATATCAATCTATCCTTTGCGCTTGAAGGTCAGATGCCTCACCTAACGCACCTGTTCATGATTTGTTTATGGTTTTGCTTGCCATAGAGTCAGATATAGACTTTAAATGAGTCACATGAATAAACTCTCTCAGCTCGAACATTTGGAATGGATTGATTTTCTTTGGGAAAACCTACCGAGTGATGTGCGAGCTAGTGAATGAATTTCAAAACGCATGTCCTTCTTTGAAGAACTTGGGATTTGGGTCATAAATCCAAGCAGATTGTGTGTAGATGCTGTGGAAACCCGCTCTGGAAATATAAGGATTACTAGGACACTAAGAAGTTCAACTTACGGATCACGTCAAGTTCAAGATGTGATTGCATCCCGCTCATACCCGCCTGACTCATTGAATCCAAACGAGTTTTATTAGGTCTTCCACGTCCTTCGGCTCAAACCTACGCACAAAGGTAACTTTGCAATCTGATGTTGGGCCCAACATTTCGAAATTACTCATCGGGCACAGACGGAATTACGGTCTATGTGATTGTGATATAATCTCGTCCCGCCCTGTCAGTGTTATTATTAGCACATACAGCATATAGGAGCACCGAGAATCTGCCGAGAAGAGATTATACATGATAATCATCAAGGTGCGCGGGAGCTCTCATATTCTCACACCCCAAGAAACACATATAGGTCAGGGATTTTTGCATTATCATCTACCATACCAGTTCTCTCCCATCTTGACGATGAAGTTGTCCACCACTTCCATCGTTGTCTTTGCCTTGCTCGGTACGTTCGTACACTTACTCCCCTACCTACCAAATAAAACTCAACCTCTATAGCCCACGCTTCGGCTCAAAACGTTACACTGCCTGGCTCTGGTGAACAACAGGTCCAAAACCAATGCGAGTCTCAAGCAAATGCCATGCTCAATGCCATTAAAGTGTGTATTATCATTATCTCGCCACGGCTGATTGTTCATTCTCTACCATAGGTCTGTAGCAGTCAGAGTCAGCAACAGAGCATCATTGACTGCCTTTGCTCTGACAACACTAGCGACACCATTGGTGTCGCATTGAATTGTGCCGTCTCTGCGGATGGTAGTTTGCTGCAAGATGCGCAAAAAGCGTTTGATCGTAAGTAATCATTCAGGTTGCTCTCACCATCGAATATTCAACCAGTGTCATAGAATACTCTCAGAACTGTCAGTCTGACGGAAAGGAAGTAAAGCAGCAGACTATTCGAAGTGAAGGGAATGGCGCAATGGGATTGCACCTGCCAGGAGGTAAGATGTTGAGTGTTTTGGGTTTGATGATGATTGTTATTGTGGAGGCTTTTTGACCCGTATCTGATTTTGATGTATGAACAAGTTGGGTTT